CCCCAAAACCCCAAAACCCCAAAACCCCAAGTATGTGAATTGTAATAAAATTGAGAAAAAGAAGTGTAAAAGTGAATATAGTTTAATTTTATTCCTTAAGATATAAAATGATGTAAAGAAATTAAACCAAGTAACTGCATCACTCCTCTGCTGTGTAACCTGCTATATCCTCTGGTCTTCAATAGAACCCACACCATTCTCACAGACAATTCAAAGCGCCGCGCATACATTCTATGAATGCCCGTAAATCACAGATTCAGAAATCTACTGTTGGTTAAGCAGTTGAAAATTGTTAAATCGAGAATAGAACTCAACAATAAAAACAATTATCGCAATCATAGCATAAGTAAATTCTTGCCAATAATAAAGGTATGATCGCTCAGGCAGCTAATAGTCCGAATATAAAAGCATTTGAAAAAGCAAAGTTTAGCAATATTAAGAAATAGGGGATGTCTTAGTCAACAGTTTATGTTAGTTTATAGGGTGAAGATCTAAAGAACTATAACTAGTAATAACAATAACAACAACAACAATAATTTCTTAACAAATAATCGGAAAAATAGCAATTATCTTTGCCGTCTTAATGGAATTAACTCCAAGTCCAGCAGTCATAGCATATAAATCCCTAATATCCTTAAAATCAGAGATTTCTCACTTAATAATAACATCACTAGCAGCAATTACTGTAAAATTAACAGCACTCTTTGCTATCTACTGCTCAGATGATGGGAAAAATAGATGACATTCAAATGAAGCAAAGATCTTTCTAGGGACCGAATATCCCTAATCAGTAGTAATTTAATCCTAGTAGTGTTAATGTGCAACTTCGGAGTAGATTGTAAAATCAATAGTATTCTTAGAATTTGTAGAGTTCCCAAAGTCTGGCAAATAGAAATTCCTAAACATCTGAAATGATAAATTAACATCTAAATTCTTAATAAAGTCAATAATAACAACAACTGATTTAGTCTTTGCAATAATCTACAAGATCAATTCCTTATCAAGAAGAATTATTCTTTTCAGAGCGTCCTGTTTCCTTTTTTAGTCCTCAAAAGCAGGGCTCATTATTAAGGTAAAGAGATAATATGATCAATAGTTTTCCAAAATAGTTTAAGGCGTTTTAATAGTTAACAGACATCGGAATCTGTTAATTAAACGTTTAGCAATTCGATTAGTTTCAGCCATTTGACAGTTTTAGAAAGCAGTCTTAAAATATAAAATATTAGCAAAGTCCTGCCTAAAATACTAAAAAGCCTTCCCGTCCCTCTACAGCTTAAGTAAGGAATCGTGCAAGCTCTAATAAAAGTAGTCATGATCTTCAATATCAAGTGCCTTTATCTCCAAAATAAGGAGGACTTAGAACCACTGGGCATAACTCAAATTCTTTTGTCTCTATTGAAAGGAACAAAAAAAATTAACAGTAGACATTCCAAAACAAATCAAACAGTTTTCTCATGACATAGTAGATTACTTTGGTATAAAGGAATGAGAATTAACAAAATACAACTCAGAGTTAAGTAAATTACCCTTAATAGAGAGCTATTCCTTCTAAAAATCTAAAGGGAAGCAGCACTCAAATTCTTGTTAAATCTAATCAATACTCATCGAAAACCCAGGGCTTTAAATAATCCTGCGAGATTACTAAAAGAAGTAGCAACTAGAGTAAATAAGAGTAGGAAACTAATTCTAATAATGAGGGAAATTTAGAAATATCTGATTTCAATAACCTTGACCTGAGTTATAATAAACAGACAAAGCCAGCAGAGAAAAAATCAGCAAGAAAATCAACTTTTGGCATGAGAGATTTGAAGAAGCAGAGCTTTTCTAGCGGGATCAATTAGGATAATAGAATTTATAATCACACTCTGCATAAAAACTCTTAAGCTGAAATCAGCAATAAAATTTCTCATAGTAAATCAGTACATTCATTTAGCAACTCCAGAGTACAATTAAATTATTAAGAACAAAAGAAAGCAACTAATTAAAATAAAGATGAAAATGAAGACAGCGAATATGGTGATGAGGATGAGGATGAAGATGACGATGAATCCTACGGAGACGAGAGTGAGAACGAAAAAGAGGAGCTTGAATTTGAAAATGAGTATGATGATGGCCAAATTGAAGCTAACTAGAAAGATACTACAGATATGTTGAGACAAAGAAGTACAGATTTAAGCTCGGAAGCAAGCACAAAATCACCAAAATCTTTAAGGAAAAAACAGATTGCAAAAAAAATAGAGTAAATTGAGGAGGAGTCTGTTTCTGATGATAATCTCGACGTAATATTCTTTCTTAATAATTTTAGACAGTAGTTGAAATAATCAATGACTAATTTAACAAGACGTAAAAAGATGATAAGAAAATAAATCTGGAATTGGCTTGTCCTAAAGAGAACTTGATAAGGACTATCTTGGAGAGGAAAAACTCACAATAAAGTGTTGGAAGTTAAAAATTGAACAGAGTGAGTTCATCTCTGACAAATTATCAAAATTAGATAGTAACCCCTAGTAGTTTTCTTGTCCAATATGAAGGAAACGACTATGAAGCGAAAGATCCGTTTACCTAGGATCATCCTGTGATTCTTTTACGCAGCATCTTTGAGAAAAGACCACCAGTAATTTTCTTCTAATACCCTCCATAATGCAATAAAAAAAGAGATGAACAGTTTACCCATAAAATGAAGGAAGGAAAATATAGATTGAAGTTCAAAATTTCAGATCAGGTTCATACTTATAACTGTGTAGTAAATTCATTGTGCAGAGGAGGCTTTCAATAAACTGATGGAGCATCTTGGAATATAATGTGGAGTGCTCCGCTTAAGCCTGAGTGCTTAAGAAATTATGACCAATATAGAAAATGCAACCATTTTCCAGGAACATTTTAACTAGGTAGAAAAGATAATATGTATAGACATATGTCTAAGATGATAAGAGAATTTGGTGAGGAATATAGAATAGTGCCAAAGACTTGGATATTGCCAGAGGATTTAAGAAGATTTTAACAAGAAAGAGATAACACTGAGAAGCCGTAGCTTTGGATAGTAAAGCCAGCTAATTCCTCATGTGGCAGAGGCATAAGAATCCTTACTAAAACTAGTTAATTACCCAAAAAAGGATAACACGTGGTTTGTGAATATATTATGAAGCCTCATCTAATCAATGGTTACAAATATGACCTTAGACTTTACGTTTTCATCACATCATATGAGCCCTTAACAATATATCTCTATAAAGATGGATTGGTAAGATTCGCAACTTAGCCATATAACACGAAAAATACTAAAGTTAGATTTGCTCACCTGACTAACTTTAGCGTTAATAAAAAGGCAACTAATTTCAAAGCAGCTGATGAGTCTTCAACAAATGGCTAGTCTTAATAGGCTAGCAAATGGTCATTAAAAATGCTTTAAGAAGCATTTAAGAGTTTATCAATAGATTATGATGAGGTTTTTGTCAAAATTAAAGATTTGATAATTAAATCAATCCTTGGCGTTGAAACAATTATTGGTAATAATATGGCTAGATCCTCAAAGTATCGTCACTTATGCTTTGAATTGTATGGGTTTGATGTAATTTTAGACAATGATTTAAAACCATGGCTTCTAGAAGTCAACGTTTTGCCATCTCTTTCATCTAGTTCTAATCTAGATAAAAGAATCAAGACTTCTCTTCTTTCTGATATATTCCAAACTATTGGTGTTGTACCCTATAATAAAAGAAAAGTACAAAGGGAAAATGAAGCACTTAAATGGGGTAAATTTTCAGGAGTTAAGAGCAAAATAAACTAACAAGATAATCAAGAGAAATCTTCAAATATGACCTTGAATAATTTTGTGTCCAATAATAGTTATGAGGATATGGAGGAGTCTTGGGATGAGAAAAAGTACCTTTCATCTCCAGCTAGAATCAGATTAGTTAAAGAGTTGTTGAATACGAATATTAATGAGTTTAATTACGAAGAACAGATAGTCATAGTTGAAAAACTAGAAGAATAAAGCAGAAGAGGTGATTTTGATAGAATATTTCCAGTAAAAAGCACTCTTGACAATTATACTAAATACTTTAAGTGCAACAGACCAACCAATCTCATAATGTGGAAATGGCTGAAAATGAAAAAAGAAGACAAACTGGCATACCTTAGAGATTTCAAGGCAAATAAAAATCAGCAAGAACTTCTTAATTAGTTAATCTCAGAGTACTGAAAGTTCTGCGTGCTTACCCAGATCTTTTTAGATCTTGATTGATTGTTTCAAATAGATTGTTATAATTTACACTTAATTATTGATTGATGAATTATAATTATAAATATATAAATTCATTTCCAATTTACAATGGACACTTTCATCCCTGGTAAAAACCTCAGAAATCCTGAAAAACTCGCCCTAAAGCAAGCTAATAATGCCTATGCTGATTGTATTGCTAAGAATTTCCTTGGAGAGTGGCTAAAAGGTGCCAATCTCAGCATTAATGAAGTCTGCTAAGAGGAATACACAAAGATGCAAGAACTAGATGGTGAGAACTATCCCCCACTTCCATTCAAATTGGACACATAATGAAAGCAAATAGAGAGCTTTACAAGATGAGTAAATAGATAAAGCTAGTTTTCATCAAATACACTTGATGGAGAGGAAAAAATTTCAATGGGATTTTACATATTTGTTCAGAAATGAATTTCTCTTCCATTTAAGTTTGATGATTTATTTAAAGTAATTTTGCATTAAAATTTAGTAGAATAGATTTATAAATTTAAGAAATTATAATTATTAAATTGAGACACAGTTTGTGTATTCAAGTCGTTGACCAAACAGACTATCCAAAGACCTTTAAAGAAGATCATAATCAAGAAACAGTAAATGACTACTATATCAGACGCATTTGGCGTGAGCAATCTATTTAGTTTACCTATTGACCACAGTTGTAAAGGTATGGAGGTTAAAAGAGTGGATTGACTTAACCTAATTTTGGGTTTTAGATTCCACATCTGATTCCTCTAAAAGGAGCAGGAGAGAGTCAGTGTCAGGAGTGGCAGGAGTTCATGAAGAGGGACATTCTGGACATTCAGACACTTAATACGAGGATCCGCTCTTTGATGACGAGGGACTTCTTGAAAGCTACACTAAAATTTGGGAGTCTTTTAATGACAAGGACCTAGTTCCATAGAAGGTCAGCAAGAGCCCGAATCTTTCTCATTCATGTCCTTTCTGTAATTTAAATCAAATCTAAAGAAACTCTTCTTAGATCCGACCAGACAAGCAATCCTTTTAAGTCCTGAAATCAGAGCCTAGTAAATGAGCTTTAAATTTAGGTTGTTATTAGATAATCAGGTCTATTCAAATTCACCATCCAATGAGGATGGGTAGTATTTATCAGACGTAGCATCTTGGATGACTAGGTCTTTTTAGGAGAACATCGCAGCACCCAAGGCTTACCTTCCACCTGCCTAGAGTTTACTTTCTCCAGCTTGGTGTCTCAGCGGTGATCATACAGTCATGACCCTACCCCCCAGAGCCAAAGCCAATTCATTTGGTTTTTAAGCAACTGCCAATGATTCAGAAAACTCCTAAAAGTAATCTAAAAATGGGGTGGGGGCCCACCAAAACCGCAAAGAAGGTATTTTTTCCGCATTAAACACCCCTCCGAAAAAAGTTTTTTCAATCTTTTCAAAACAATTAAACCCCGAGGACGATACTCAGGAAGAGAACTGGGAGGAGGACACCAATGATACCGAGATAATGAAAAATATAAACAGCTTACTCGATTCAGGTAATCCATAGTATATATAAGTCAATTAAATAGACCTTTACGAAATTAAGGAAAAAGCCTCAATATCCATATCGTACCTTGGAGATTGTCATCAATAATTATATGCTTAATGAGGCCCTCTAGAAGGTCTCTGATCCCCAGGAACTAGACTCCTGGGCGGGGTTGAGAGATGATCTCAGCTTCATGCATATTTAATGTAACAATAAATTCGATGACCTTAAACAGGAGGAGGGAGAGAATTTAAATTTCATTAAAGCTCACAGATGACGATCGAGGACATTGCACGATACAAACTAGCATATGGATATTGAAAATATTATAGCACAGGGGCGGTTATCTTTCAAGTCAACCCAATTTTACTATCATGCTCACACCATTGCATTAAAACTAATGATCTATACCAACAGTGGTTGTGATAATAGTTTTGAAGTAGTCTCAGTGTTAGCAGCTAGTAAGGGTTAATGTCTCTAGGAATTAATCCTACGTTTTAAAAATAGTAAATAAGAAAGACAAAGTCTAATCTAAAGTGGGATTATATAGTAAGATCAGTAATGAGGAGTGCACAGTAGAAGCATCCAATCTATGAGTAGAGATGAGAGGAAAAGGACCTCTCTTCCTTTTTAATTAATGATAATTATAAGTAATTAGGTAATAGTAAGATTTAAGTTAGTCACCAATTCAAACTCAGCCTACTCTACTATTCAATTAAATACATTAAATTGTATGCAATTAATCAATCTTTTCATTACATCATCGAAATCATTTTCAAATCTAGCAATGACCCTGGGGTTTTGGGGTTTTGGGGTTTTGGGGTTTTGGGG